CTCTGTCTGCTAGCTGGCCACGGACCAGCAGATACCGATGATTGAACAAGGGAGCGGTATAATCTTCTACAACCTTGAGATCACGAAGCGAGCTTGTTGGATGAATTGTAGCGGCGACACCAGGAGCTCGTGGAAAAGCAAGGTGATCGACAGAACCAATGGCCAGCGGCGTTGGTGACTTCTCGCCAGAGGCGTGCGGCGGCGGCTTGAGAATGTACACGTTGGGGAAGCGAGTTTCTTGGTAAAAGGCCATGTCGTGCGACTGTGAGAACTTGTGAAGCCTCTACGCGACCTTCTGCGTGATGCTGTTCGTGTTGAGCGATACGATGGAAAGAGACGGGAGCTGGGTTGGTACGTTGGTGCGCACTGCGGTGGTAGCGGAGACCACCTTAGTTCTGGCTGAGCATGTTCCTCATGACCTCGAGAGTCATCTCAGAGCACAACGAGTTCGGGTGCCGTTGGTGGACCCGCTCCAACAGCCAGTTGGCCGAATCCTTGTAGAACGTTGGGGGGTCCCTCATCCATTTGTTGAGCACCTCAGATTGCAACAAAGTCAGCAGCGTGTGGTCCGTGTGCATCCCACGACGTTTGTACAGGCGTGTCAAATTGTTCTTGGTAAGCCCATAACTCGATCATAATGCAGTCAGCCAACGGCCGAGCTCGTGCCTGCCTCTACGCTTGCCGGGTGAGGGTGCAAGTGCATCCAGGTCATCGTCTAGCGTAATGTTGAAGTCGCCGCCAACGAGATGAAGATCATCGGCGTCAAAGTCGCGCGGCAATGCGTCAAAGAACGCCTGCCGCTCTGACGCTTCGGCTGGCGCGTAAATGTTGTGCAAAAAGACCACTCTGTCTGCTAGCTGGCCACGGACCAGCAGATACCGATGATTGAACAAGGGAGCGGTATAATCTTCTACAACCTTGAGATCACGAAGCGAGCTTGTTGGATGAATTGTAGCGGCGACACCAGGAGCTCGTGGAAAAGCAAGGTGATCGACAGAACCAATGGCCAGCGGCGTTGGTGACTTCTCGCCAGAGGCGTGCGGCGGCGGCTTGAGAATGTACACGTTGGGGAAGCGAGTTTCTTGGTAAAAGGCCATGTCGTGCGACTGTGAGAACTTGTGAAGCCTCTACGCGACCTTCTGCGTGATGCTGT